CTAACTCAGCTTAGAGGGAACACTGGTCACCGTACTCAGCAGCACGTTCCCTACCACAGCTCCTGCCCCTCAGCGATGACAGAGCCTTTCGCAGGAAAAGACAATCCAAAAGGGGGGGGGGGACGGGATACAATTATGGCACAGCCGACGTGACACAGCGACACCCTTCAAAAGGGAGGCCAGGTGCCCGCGTGCCTGAAGAGCCGCCACTCCCGCTACGAGCCCATGCGGCCGCTTTGCTCACTGCAGCCATGCCCATGTCTGTTCATTCCAGCCCCTGCAAGCGCACTCTTCTGCACTGCCTGCCGGCAGGCTTCATCTGCACCTGCTCCCGGAGGAATCAAAATGTCTGCGTCTCTCTTGCAGGGTTCGGGAAACAAAAACTCTTGGAAGCAAGGAGGCAGGCGGCCACCACTTTGGAGGAAAAGGAAGGAACGATCAGAGACTCTGCTGTGGTCGCTCTGGACTGGAGAAGTCCTGTCGCCTCACCTGCTGGGAGAGCAAAGGGATGGCGGAGAGTGATGCTGCTACCAAGGTAAGCCATGCGGCCTCCCGCTATGGAGGCTCTCAAGGAGGAGAAGCGGCCAGTGAAGGTCACAGGAGGGCTGGATGCAAGCAGTTCGGTCTCAGGGAGGAAGGGGTGAGCCGCAGGAGGCCTTCCACCCACAGATCCTCCTGCGTTCCTTGGAAAGAAACAGGAAGAGAAGGCATCCTTCTTCCTTGTGTGGGAGGAGAGCTGTGTGCAGACGGGCCTCACTCCTGTGCTGGCACAGATGGAGCACACAGGATGGCTTCAGCAGCCACCGTTACGGGTCCAGCCATCTGGTTTTGGCAAAAAAAGACGTGCCCTTCGGGTTCCGTTCCCACCATCCCACACTCCGAATTTTCTACCCGTAACTGCCACATTTACAATCACTGCTCCACATAGAGAGGCGTTAAAATACACACTTCTTTGTAGAACCAGGGTGAACACGATTAATATCCAAGAAAGATTATGCACTCAAAATGCTAGTTCTAAGAGCAGAATCCCCAGGGACTTTGTGGGACAGGCTGGTAAACAAGCAAAGGCAGAGTTGAATCTCTGGGCTGCAAAGACTTCCAGTGAAATCCCCAGGGACGCTGCGTTCCACTTGAAGGTTCTTCCCAGGCCTTCCCCACAAGCGTTCCTCCACAGACTGAAAAAATATTGGAAATCATGGACTCAAAAGGTGAGCTGAAGGGTCATCTGGAGCAACTAATCCTGTGGACATGAAGCGTACACGTGAGCACCATCAGGAAGCTCTCATTTGGTACCACTTAGAACAACATCTGAGTCCAGTGGCATCTTTAAGACCAACAAAGTTTAATTCTGGGTATAAGCTTTCATGAACATGCACACTTCTTCGAAAGCTTGTAAAGGTAAAGGTTTCCCTTGCTTGAAAGCCAGTCGAATCCGACTCTAGGGGGCGGCGTCCATCTCCATTTCCAAGCCGAAGAGCCCAGCACTGTCCGAAAACGTCTCCGTGGCCATGAGGCCAGCATGACTAGATGCCAAGGCACATGGGACGCTGTTCCCTTCCAACCAAAGTGGTCCCTATTAATCTAGTTGCAATTTCTTGCTTTCGAACTGCTAGGTTGGCAGGAGTTGGGGCCAGAGATGGGAGCTCACTCCATCACACAGCACTCGGGTCTCGAACTGCCAAACTACTGACCTTCCGGTCTGCTGTTGAGTGTCTTAACCTCTGAGTTAACCTTAGTTGGTCTCACAAGTGCCTGACTGGACTCAAACTTTGTTCTGTTACAATTTACCACCAGTGGAAGAGGAGGAGGAGGGTTAGATGGCGCAGCGGAAAAGAAGGAACAGGGTTGGGGGTAGGCCCACTGAAGAAAAAGTCGGACGACACAACCCGAGGGAAGAGATCTACCCATCTGTCATCTCACTGCGATCCCTTATCCCCTAGGTCACCTAAGGCACAGAAGGGAACCTCCCTACTAGCAACAGACCTTCACGGGTCTAGTTCAGACCCGCTGTCACAACGTTGAATAAAGCCACGAGAAGAAACTGGGAAACGAGGAGGGCAGGACACCAGCGCCCTCTTCCTTCTCGACCGCTGGTAAGCTTGCCTGAGCCAGACATGGAGGCTTTGTGGAGAGACACATTCCCCGCCAGTCGGGCACCAAAAGACAAATGAAAGCTATTAGTACTTTCCATGAGTACAACAAAGGAAGACCTTTCCAGAAACATGGTTTCTTTTCATGGCCAAACGCTAAATATTTCCATAAACAATCAAAGCTTCTAACTGCTTGCATCAGGTAGACCCGGAGCGTTTTAATAAGGCTAATTTAAATACCAGAAGGCACTTCCTAGATCTCCAGTACCTGCTAGAGCTTATGGGCTCAATGGGATTGCAGCAGCCGGCCGTTCACAGGGAAAGACAGCTTGGGGGGCTCACCCGTCAAGAGGGGCTCTACAGCGCCTGCAGGAGGGGCACGGCCGGGGCTGGGAGAGCCTCTTGCTTCTCAGGCTGGACGAAAGTGGCGCCATTATGCCATCCTCACATCCTCAGGCCTATCAGACTACATAGAATCATAGAATGTTAAGAGTGGGAAGGGATCTTGCAGGTCATCTATTCCAACCCCCTGCACTCTGCAGGAGCGTCGCCGAAAGGCAGCCCTACAACATACCCGAAAGAGGGCCGTCCAGCCTCCGCCTGAAAACGTCCAGCGAAGGAGCATCCACCACCACCTCCCGAGGCAGACTGTTCCCCTGCTCAACCACTCTTACAGTAATGAAGTTTCTCCTGATATTTAACCGGTATCGACTCCCTTGTTATTCCCACCCGTTTGATCTAGTCTTGCAATCCGGAGCCAGAGAGAATAGATCCGCTCCATCTTCTGCATGACAGCCCTTCAGATACTTGAAGACGGCAATCATGTCCCCTCTAAGCCTTCTCTTTCCCAGGCCAAACAGACCCAACCCTTTCAGCCTTTCCTCCTAAGACTTGGATTCCAACCCTCTCACCATCCTGGTTGCCCTCTTCTGGACACGCTCGAGCTTGTCAACATCATCACATGAACACACGTAGCTGCCTTACCCTGAATCAGACCATCGGTCCATCGCGGTTCGTACAGTGTCTACTCAGACTGGCAGCAGCTCTCCAGGGTCTCAGGCAGAAACGGGTCTTTCACCTCCCCTCCTGCCTGGTCCTTTCAACGGGAGGTGCCAGGGATTGAACGAGGGACCTTCCGACTGCCAAGGAGATGTTCTGCCACTGACCCACCGCAGCCCCTGCCTTATTCATTTGACATACACACAGCAAAAGGCAGTGCCTCCTGTCAGCTGAGGTTGGTGGCGGACGTGTTGGCTGCACAGCAGCAAGGCCCACAAGTGTGGAGTGAAGAATCTATTTATTTTTTTATTTATTTTGGGATTTATATCCCGCCCTTCCCGAAGGCTCAGGGCCAACCATACTCATATACACTCACACAACCATATGCAACACCATTTACTAGTTGTTTTAACATGTGTCACGTTTAATACTTATGCTGTTTCAGACTTCTGCAATCCCAGTCGCCCTGCGTGGCTTATTGGATGTCTCATCCTACTGACTGCACTGACTTGTAATCCACCTTGAGTCCCCAGTGAGAAAGGCGGGCTATAAACAACATAAATATTTATTCCGTGTGATGCTTCCTGGAGCACAAGCACGGAGAGATGGTACATAAAAGGGTCTAAATCGGTAAGCGCACTCCCAAACACAGTCTGGGACAAACAGCACCAAGGTGGTCACCCTGATTCATTATTACACAGACATCCAACATTCTGCCAACACAGAACTCAAGTCCAAAGAGATTCCTGGGCAGTCTCCCGCCAAACCCTGCAACCACACCCAGGGATGTGGCAACATCACACCTCTCCTCACTAGAATGTCTGGGGAGCAGACAGAGACACACCGCCTAGAGATGTAAAATTTCTGGAAATTCTGAAGCTCCAAAAAAACCCCATTTTTTTCCAGAAAAAAATGGAAATTTTCAGGAAAATTGAAAAAAATGCTACATAAATATTTTATTCATCATGTTAAAATAAAATGTTCCATAATCAATTTTTTTCTTTTCCAGACTGAAAGTCATTCTGTTAGTTTAGGAACATAAAATATGACTATGGACATTTTTACTTGGCATGAAATCATCACAACTAGCATATTAAAAATATAGTGTATCCAAACAATTATTACAAACAGAATACCCACCCATATGCAAAAACAAGACTGAAACCTTTTTCTTTTCTTGTGACAATAGCACCTCCTAAAGGAAGAAATGCATCTTGTTCTTGCATTGGAGAGTTCAGCTTGTAACCTAGGACTTGCTTGTCCTCAGTGCACAGAAATTAGATCAATCTGATACCATATGTATATATTTTAGAAATGATTTGGAAAATATTTGAACACCCTGTCTTAAAATATTTTATTCATCATGTTAAAATAAAATGTTCCATAATCATTTTTTTTTCCTTTTCTTTTTTCAGTTTTTCCAGTTTTTTGGAAAAAAACCCAAAAAGGCTTCAGGAAAAAAAATGGGGGGGAAACCCATTTCCCCCCCACATTTTTCCGGGCCTTCACATCTCTAACACCGCCTTAGACCGGGATGAGCTGTTGGCCAGGCTCTCTTTGGAAGCCCGACCGCAACGGCTGGGCAGGCCTACCAGAGAGACTGGCCACACGGCAGGGCGAGGCAGCACCCGGAAACAGAAGCGAGCCACCAGAAGGGAGCCAACCATTCCTAGACTCAAGAACCTGGACACCAGCACTGCACTAGTCCCCACCCGACCATCTCTGCTGTCTTCCAGGATGCTGGGCTGGAAGAGGCCACCACCTCCACCCGAGCTGAGGGGGAAGGCGCCAAGAGACATCGTCACAGGCAGATGCCTGCGGCCACCAAAGGTTGAAGGATGGCACCGGTTGCCAACTGCCAATTACAGGGGCCTCCGCGCGGAAGGAGGGCAGCTCTGCCCGGCTCCTCACCTGCTTCATCGCCGTCTCGCCAATCTTGTCCGAGTGCTTGCGAATGCTCTCCAGGAAGTCTTTGAGGTCGGACATGGAAACGTCCTTGATTTCCTCACGCAGGCTGGGGATGCTGTCCACCATGACCTTGCAGAAGCGGTAATGGCTCACCCGCGGCAGGTAGGTGTGCTCAAGGTGCTCCAGTGTCTTCAGAGCAGGGTAGTGTCTGGAGGAGAAGATCAAACCCCTTCAGGAGCCGCCAAGACCCCACCTCCCAGCAGCAACAGCCACGCCCCCCGGGGACTCTGCAAAAGACCGGGCTCCCGATCAATTGCCTTCATGCCCCCCTCGAGTACGAAGACAAAACGGGAAGGAAGGCTGCCTTCCTCTGAGAGCCTCGGGCCCCTGTGCACACCCACCTGACTGCCCCGGTGGAGGAGAGCTCCACCCAGGGTTCCTCTTGGGCCGCCTGCTAAGAAGACACAGTGGAATGTGAGCTGCCCAAAATTAGGGAGGGTGGCAGCAGTCTCTTTGGCCCCCAGGCCACAAAGGGGGAAGGGCTGGAAAACAACCCATGTATGAAACGAAAGAGGATCGAAGCCTGAGAACCTTGGCAAGAACGAGGAGACAAGTGCGAGCCGCCAAAAGGGGGAGAAGCAAGGTGGTGGAACGAGCTCCGGGAGGAGATCAGGGCCCTGTGGGACCTTCTACAATTCCGCAGGGCCTGCAAGACGGAGCTCTTCCACCAGGCCTTCGGCTAAAGAGCCCCCTCACTCACCACCACCACCAACAATCGTAGTACCGACCCTGGCCCTTAATGTTAACATCTGACCTGTGCCGTTGCACAACTTAGGAAGATTACTGAGCTGAAAAACTGTGTGTCATATGTACGTATGCACTTTAGTGTCCCATCTCAAACAAATACTGATTTTGTCCAGCACTTTATAATTTTATGATTGTACGATTTTATCTGTAATTGTACTATTTAAATTATTTTATGTAGATTTTAATAGTCACTGCACACCAACCAATGTAAGCCGCCCTGAGCCTGTTCGCAGGGAGGGCGGGGTATAAATTTAAATAAATAAATAAATATTTCAGGGAGAAAGACAATGCCCTCAAAATGCAAGGGAAGGGCATCAGGACGAACGAGGGACTGATGTGACGGTCTGTCCCAAGGGCAGGCCAGGGGCACCCTCCGGAAGGAAGGTCTCCATGTATTTCGGGAGCAGCCATTGGTGTCTCCACCCCAACATTTCCCACTTTCTAGTGAGAGCAGCAGCCTTGCAGTAAACCACTTGCCGAGCGGATGCAACTACCCCCTTTGCTCAGGTCTGGAACCAGAAGCGGGCTTGGGCGGGCTGGCAAACGACTTGCATTTCATTTATCTGTCAGACTGCAACACTGACGGACGGCCCTTTCCCAACAAACCTTTCCAGCCTGAGGGGTGAACGCAAGGCAGGTCCGGGAGGGCTGCATAGAAGATCAGACAACAGGATAGCCTGAAGAGATGGGGTGTCCCCCCCCACTTTGCCCACCACCAGCACCCCCACCCAGCAAAGGATGTGTCTGGTCAGACACTGCAAAGCGCCTGCTGGTTTAACCCACACCACCTCCCTATCCAAATCTCCTTCGCTCCAAACAGTGTTTGCAGAACGCCTGAAGAGAAGCAGAGGAAGTTGTTTTAACAGAAAACCACAGAGGTCACCCAAAGCAAAGGTCAGAGGTCCGCTGAATCATGAATCTGGGCTCGGTTTACTTCTGCAGACTAATTCCCAACCAAATGCAGCTCCCTCTGGAGGGAAATCCAGCCAAAGCTGCATGAGGCCAGGGAAACAAACACATGGGACCCACTGCTTATCAGAACGGCGCTTGCTTAAGGAGGCTACACAACAGGCGGCTGAAAGCCAAGCCGGCACAATCCAAGGACTCATCCCTGCCCCACAAAAACCCATCCTGGCATGCACTGAACATGCCAAGCCTCCAAGCTGAGGTGGGGGCCGCTCAAGTCCTCCACCACAGGGATACTTGCATGCCGCCCCTGTGTGGTGCCGTCTGCCGCCCCACAAGACTTTCCCACCTGAACGCAGAGATGGATCAGGCCTTGTAAGGAAACGCCTGGTTCAAAAGAGGAGAAACAGGGTGTTCTCTTACCTAAAATGTGTCAGAAATATGCGTGTTGCAAGGTCTAAAATTCATAGGGTTAATGTGCGTTTACCTTGTGTGCTATTGTTTAGACTGACCTGGAAGGGAACCTGGCAGAGAGCCAATGGGAAGAAAGCCAGGGAAACTGAAGCCTATTTACTAACAATCATTGGTTAATGCACTCAGGTGATTTCCTTCTAGGGGTCAAGAAGAAGAAGAATCTTCACTGTTGTAGACCGTGTGGTCAAAGTGTAAAGATGTAGTCTTAGGTGTCTTTGTTGTTTTGTAGATTTCCTGTGAACCCTTCCCTTAGAAATAAAGATTTTACATAGAAGAAAATGCCTCCTCTCCAGTGAAGCAAAGATCCATTGCAATCTCTGAATAGTTAACTATTTTGCCAATTTTTCCAACAGAATGGTCCCCATGTCAAGGCATGCAAGTGATGACACGTGTAAATTTAGACACAGGCCCCCAGGGGATCTTTAAGCCTGCTGTACCCACAGCTCCAGGCTACGGTTCAATCAAGCTCCAAGGAGAATGAGAGGGGGAAGAGACAGATGCTCAACCAGAAAACAACTTTATTGTCCTGACCAAGCTACCGACCAGCAAAGGAAGGTAAAAATTATAGCAGTAGGAGGCAGCGAGATGGAACCTGTTCAATGACGAACACAGCGGTAATTTACTTGTGACGATTTGCAAAAATCCTAGAGTCCGCTTGTAAGAATTTTAACCTCCAAACAGAGTGTTCTTTCCACAGGGCTAATTCTAGGAAAAAAACAAAGAGGGGAGAAAAGACAGCTGTGGGCTTGCCCACAAAAATACCAGTAAAATATGAAGGATGGATGGAATTTTAGGACTGGAAGGAAGGATCCCCTGTTAGGGGGGGAGGCTATGAGGATGAAGAAGATGTAGAGCTGACCGGCTTGGATGAGGAAACTAGGAAGAAGAAAGCACGGGAAGGAAGACCTGGAGGGCAGGCTTCAAGGTGGGAAGGTGGAACAGGCCCAAGTCAGTGGTACGAAGTGGTTCAGAACCCACTACAAAATGGTGGAGTCTGAAAGACCTTTCTATGCACCCAGTTTTACTCGGGCACCCCTTTGCACAATGGTTGCAATTATTAGCATCTGCGCTGCCACTGGGTGGTTTTGGATCCTTCTCACCATGGCAGCGTTGGTAGGGTCCGAGCTGGTACCGGGAGGGGGGGGGGCGATGAAGAATGCTAGAATCCGTTGTGCCATTGGAGAATGTCTAGGAAGAGAAAGCTTAGAGGGGACATGACTGCAGTCTTCAAACATCTCAAGGGCTGTCACGCAGAAGATGGAGCGGATCGATTCTCTCTGGCTCCGGATGGCAAGACTAGATCGAATGGGTGGAAATGACAAGGGAGTCGATACCGGCTAAATATCAGGAGAAACTTCCCTGTCAGAGTGGTTGGCAGTGGAACAGTCTGCCTCGGGAGGTGGCGGAGGCTCCTTCGCTGGATGTTTTCAGGCGGAGGCTGGACGACCCTCTTTTGGGTATGTTGTAGGGCTGTCTTTCGGCTGTGCTCCTGCAGAGTGCAGGGGGTTGGACTGGATGACCTGCAAGGTCCCTTCCAACTCTTAACATTCTATGATTCTAAGAGTGGTTGAGCAGTGGAACAGTCTGCCTCGAGAGGTGGCGGAGGCTCTTTCGCTGGACGTTTTCAAGCGGAGGCTGGACGGCCCTCTTTCAGGTATGTTGTAGGGCTGTCTTTCGGCTGTGCTGCTGCAGAGTGCAGGGGGTTGGACGAGATGACCTGTGAGGTCCCTTCCAACTCCCACCTTCCAACAGGTCTATGATTCTATGATTCTATGGATCTGTGCTACTGCTGGAGCATTTGCGTTTCTCCTTCACGTGGGAGGGGGCTTGGTTCAATTACCCGGCAGAGTTACCCAGTGGCTCTCTGACATGCCACCCGTGGCCCTTCTGAGCACCGTCCCCCACTATGGCACAAGGATCATGTTGCTGGGAAAGGGGCAATGCAATTATCCACAGGGAACCACGGTGGGCAGGCACTTCCCACCTTGGGACAGTGGTCACTGGAGGGGCCAGCAGCCGTTTCAGCTGTGAGACTCCCTTACTTGTTTGTCTGATATCCCATCTTTCCTTATGGCTCAAGACGGCTTACTGGTTAAAATGTTACAGCTGTAAACCAATAGAGTGAAAGCACAGATACCCCAACTCATCCCAAAAGATGCCAACAGCCTCTACACCTGGCAAATAAGCTGTCCTTGCAACACCTCCTGAAGACGCTGGAGCCCCTCCCCTCTGCAGGGAGCTCATTCCACCAGGGGGGGGGGCAGAGCAACAAGGCTCTGCTTGGTGTTGGGGGCTGTGGCTCAGTGGAACAGCCTCTTGCTTGGCAAGCAGAAGGGCCCAGGTTCAATCTCCGGCAGCATCTCCAACTAAAAGGATCAGGTATGAGGTGATATGAAAGACCTCCGCCTGAGACCCTGGAGAGCGGCTGCCAGTCTGAGTAGACAATGCTGACCTTGAGGGCCCAAGGGGGTCTGACTCAGCATCAGGCAGCGTCCTGTGTGTCCACGTGTCCCTTAAGTGGGGGAACTGCCAACAGGCCCCCTGTTGGCTCCTGGGCGTGTATATATATGACAGGAGACCCGTCTTTCAGATATGTGGGTCCTGGACCAGGAAGGGCTTTGAAGGTTACAACCAGCACCTTGAACTGGATTTGGGAACCAACTGGCAGCCGTTTTGAGATGGATGGCATCTATTCCCATAGGCTAGCCACATATCGAACCCGCCAGCCATCTCCAGGTTGTCTTCAGGAGCAGACCAACAGAGACTGCATTGCAGTAATCCAACCGTGACATTACAAAAGCTTGGACTGGCATGGCCAGATAGGTGGAGCCTAAGAAAGGGAAGAGTGGGTGAACCAGGAACAGGGGAGAGAAGGCATTCCCGGCCACTATGCCGACCTGCTTTTCCAACAGAAAGGCTGGGACCACGCAAAGCCCCGAGCTCTCGACCTGACCCACAAAGGCCAGCTCCGGTCCGCGTGAGAGACAAGTGGAGATGATTTCCTCGAATAAAGCGTGGACTGGAAAGGGGGGGGGGGGGGGGGGGGGGAACCAGCATGCCTTCTGTCTTGTCTGGGTTCAGCGTCAGAACAAGCCCAGCTCAGACTTCCAGGCCGATCCCTTCCCGCTCAACGCGTCTGTGCTCTTACCTTTTAGATTTCATCTGCTCTCTCAGCTTGCTGTCCATCTCCAGAGCTAGGACAGAAGAGAGACCAAGAGGCACCAGTCAATAAAAGCCAACTCTCAGTCAGGGTGCTGACGCCACAGCAGCTCTGCCCCGCATATTTGCCCAGGGCCACGACAAAAGCCAGAGCCACTCCGCCAGGAGTACCCGCTTTGCCAGGTCTCTCACCAGGAAGACACTGCGTCAGCTTATCCATGGTTGCAGAAATATTCCGCTGCTGGAGGCGACACTGTTTCAGCTCCTCCATGGCTCCCACCAGCTGCAAGAGAAACCACCGTTTTACCACCACAGCACAACCCAAGAGGCCTTAGCCAGAGCTGCTTGCCAAGAGCTGCTTGCCGAGAGCCGGCCCCTTCGGGAGCCGCCTGCCACCCTCACAAAGAAAGCCTGCTTCCTGCTCAAGAGCCACCAGGGAATAAACTCCCCCCCCCCATTCTTCCACAGCGAAGCTCTCTTGTGCCTGCATCTCCCATGGGAGTCAGGCATATCACAACCTACAGCCTAGAAGTTGTGATTTTCGCATTTCCTCCGGCCATGGATATGTACAAATCTGACCAAGTGGCCACAGGATGTCTCCAAGAGAGGCAGTTTCCCTGTGGAAGAGATGGGCAGACGTGGACCTTCCCACTGGGGGAGGTGGGCAGAGACGTAACTCCAGCACGTAACTCCAGCTCATCTGGCCCCAAGACCAGACGCTGGACTCCAGGCTTACCTTCTTGCTTTCCATCTGCAGATTTCTGTTCGTGTCCGTCACTTGGTTCTGTGAAGAGAAACCCACACTGCATTTGACTTAGCTCATTGCAGACAGTCTTGGTGCTGGGCTGTGGGGTGGAGGGAACCGAACTCAGCAGGCGTGCCTGGGGAGCCCTCCCGTGAAAGCGGATCCTGGACGCCAGGAAATTTCACTGTGGCCAGGTGCTCTCAGAAGACGGTTCTTGGGGCTTCCGACCATGTTCAGAGAGACGGCATGCATTCATACGCTTGGTTTATCTCTCTTGCTGGGCAGAAGCATCAGGCAACTCTTCTGCTGGTCTCTCAAAGACAAGGTGACCGGGGGGGGGGCTAAAAGGACAAGGCCTGTGTTCCCTTTGGCTGTTGCCGTTGTTGCTGTCAAGTCACATCTGACTTCTGGTGACACCCCCCCCCCGGTGATTCTTCTGATTAGCAGCCCTAAAGGTTGTAAAGCACTTCGTACACAGAAGGTGCCAGAGGCAAGAAGTTAGCTGACAAAGTTCTACACACACACACACCAACATACTCTAGAGGGACCAGCAAGCAGCAGCACAACTGCGTGCACACATCCCATTTCCGTCGCTGCCGCATCTTCTGCAATGAGCCTCCACAGGCCCGTCCATAGGCAGCAACCAACCGATACGACAGACATCCACGAACGCCCTTCGCCACTCCGTGGTCCTCCCAAGCGGCCCACTGTGACCGAGGTGGCTTCATTCCATCCCTCACCTTGAGTTTCTGGGCTTCGGCCCGGACTTTCAAGAACTCCGTGATGGCGTCCACAAAGCCCTGGTAGTGGAAGTTGCACATCTTCTCGATCTCGCGGTCGTGGTTCCGGATGCGAGCGTCGAGCTTCTCCATGAAGCGCCCGTGCTCCTCGCCATCGTAGACGGACCTGGAGGAGACACAAAGCCATATCCGTCAAGGGGTGCTGCTGACCCAGCCGGGAGCATGGGGACTTTCCTCCCTTGGAGGTTGACCAAGCAGCTTTCTGGTCTCCACCGAGCAACATCCATTGACGGAACAAAGAATGACAGAAATGGGGCTTCCAGATTATTTTATTTACGAGTGTGAACAGCCAAGCTAGGAGGGGCGGGGCACAGCACAGACTGTACCAGCCCCCCAAATTATCAAAGCTACTTCTGGGGGGGGCCTTAGTGGTGCTTTCTTCCCTCAGGCTGGGCCAAGCAGGAGGTCCCTCATGGTCAAGAGACAGAGCTTCACGGCTTCCTTTATCAAGGAGACAAGGAGTCTAAGGCCAGGGGAGCCCATCAAATAAACTGAGGTGGTAAAGGCTCAGTTGGAAGAGCACGGAATGCGAAGAGGCAAGAGAGAGGAAGCTGGTGAAGCTGAAGGCAAATCAGATTGGAAGGAGGTGACAGGATGTGAAGAACAAGAAGCCAGGCACATGGTGCAGTGTAGCCAGAGGACAATCGGGGGAGAGGAGAGGCCGGTCGGCGGGCAGGACCACCCACTGGCCATGATGAGCATCCAAAAGAGGGCAGAGGTCCATTTATGAGAGGCTAACGGGAAGCAGAACTAATGTCTGTCTATGTGCATGCTGCCTTCTGTGGCCAGGATTAAAATGGAACTTGCCGTACTCTCAGACGGGCAGAAGCAAGGACACACGTGCTGAAGGTGCAGCAGTCTGCAGGTTGTTCAATCCCGGGTCTCTTCACTATGCTGCACGTAAGAAACTCAACCATTTGTACCTCTGAATTTCTCTAAGATGGAGGGGAGGGGCCATGGCTCAGTGGCAGAGCACCTGCTTGGAGAGCAGAAGGTCCAAGGTTTGATCCCTGGTACCTCTACATAGGAGCTGGCAGTAGGTGATGTGAAAGACCTCTGCCTGAGACCCTGGAAAGCGGCTGCCAGTCTGACAAGACAATACTGACCCTGATGGACCAGTGGTCTGATTCAATTTGAGGCAGCTCCATGTGTTCGTGGGCTCTCAACTCCAGAGGGCGCAAAGCCCATCTGCGTGGTGCACAGAGACCATAAAGAAGAACCGCCCGATATTGGACGAAGGGAGCTTTTTGTCTTGAAAGCTCAGACCTCAAACGGCTTGTTGGTCATTAAGGGGCTGCTAGACTCGAACCCAGCTCTTCTGCTACAGGGCTGCCCTCAGAAATGACACCTTCATAAAGAAGATACCAGTGAAATCCCTGACCTAAATTTTATTTAGGCCACGGTTCTGAGCTACCCCATCTAAGAAAACAGGGGTGTTTCACTCAAACTGCTTCTTAAAGAGCAACATGACTATTTTCTACTGAAATTTTTGGGCTTCTGCCTTTACTTCCAAGACTACTGCCCACTGCAATCATAGAATCATAGAATGTTAGAGTTGGAAGGGACCTTGCAGGCTATCTAGTCCAACCCCCTGCACTCTGAAGGAGCATAGCTGAAAGATAGCCCTACATACCTACAACATACCCGAAAGATGGACGTCTAGCCTCCGCTTGAAAACGTCCAGCGAAGGAGCATCCACCACCTCCTGAGGCAGACTGTTCCACTGCTCAACCACTCTTACAGTTGGGAAGTTTCTCCTGATATTTAGCCGGTATCAACTCCCTTGTAATTTCCACCCATTAGATCTAGTCTTGCAATCCGGAGCAAGAGAGAATAGATCTGCTCCATCTTCTACATGACAGCCCTTCAGATACTTGGAGACTGCAATCGTGTCCCCTCTAAGCCTTCTCTTTCCAAGGCTAAACATACCCAACTCTTTCAGCCTTTCCTCGTAAGACTTGGATTCCAACCCTCTCACCATCCTGGTTGCCCTCTTCTGGACATGCAATGATCCATCGGTTGCCACACTGACCAGCTCTCCACTACCCCCGTGCCCAATACATCCTCTTCCTTGGCACGCCAACAAGACCGTCAGCCCTCTGCCCAAAGACCACCCTCATGGCTGCACCCAGCACTCCACTGGCACTAAGCCCACTGGTGCCAGCTGCAGCAATGACCTCCTGCCATCAGCCATGCACCACGGATCCCACCGTGAACGCCGGCTAGTCTGTGCCCACCCGTTCATGCCCAAGAGGAGATTCCTGGTGTCCAGCCCAAGAAAACGCTTTTGCATACAGACAAAGGCAAGATGACAACAACAGCATTAGCATTTCTGTAGAGCTTTCGGTGTTCAAAAGACCATGTGCATGTTAGCTTACAGTCTTCAGCACAGGCCTGCGCGGTTGGCCGGTATAATTACCACCCCATATAATTGATGGAGGGACTGGGGCTAAGAAAAAAGGGTCTGCATAAGAGCATCTAGCGAGCTCATAAGAGGCAAGACTCTTACAAGAGGACGTTTTCAAGCGGAGGCTGGACGACCATCTTTCGGGTATGTTGTAGGGCTATCTTTCGGCTATGCTCCTGCAGAGTGCAGGGGGTTGGACTAGATGACCTGCAAGGACCCTTCCAGCTCTAACATTCTATTATTCTAAGACTGGACCAGAGAACCTGCACCAGCTCCCCTTGATGCCAGGCAGAAAGGAGACTTCCTCATTCAACGGGGAGAGGGTAGAACGCCCGGTCAGTGGCAGAGCACTTGCTTTGCATGCCAGTGGTTCAATTCCTGGCATCTCCTGCAAAAAAAAAATCTAGGAAAGAGGCATGGTCACTTCATAGTTACGTGCAAAGTTCAGAATACTGTTTTAGTGACATTTGCAAAAGAGGAGTTAAACGAGGGAAAGGAAGCTGGAAAACGTCATTTGAAAAAAGGTTCCAAGAACTGCACCCAGGTGCATCAGTCTCTGGCCCGGCTCTCAGAAGCTGCCCAGGCCAGCCTGAAACGTCAACCCATAAAGTGCCAGCCCGGGGAAGAAGCTGAAAAGGCTGGGACTGCAGGCAGAACTCTGGGGAAAGAAGAGCGAGCAAAGAATTCTCCTCTGAAAATGAGCGTGTTTTTGAAACGAGGACTGAGTCTGCCATCTAGTGGAACTTTGAGGTGAACACAACAGTCAGAGTCAGGTGGGTGGCTGTGTTGGTCTGCACTGAGGCGGCGGAACAAGGTTGGAGTCCAGTCGGGCACCTTGAAGACCAAGAAAGTTTTATTCAAGGCATAAGCTTTCGTATGCATGCACATTTCTTCAGATACAATGAAATGGAAGTTACCGGTCCATACATATAGGAAGAGGCTGAGCAGCAAATTAGCATACAGCCTAATGAAGATATTTAACAGATGCAAGGACCAAACAGGAGTCACACGCTTAGTTTACATGGTGACCATTTGTTTGGCCTTAATTCCGGGAGAGAACATAGTGAAGGAGATAAATATGTCAGAATTGGAGATTGATGAGCAGATGTTGAATGCTGAGAGTAATTAACGGAGAACCTGCCATTACACTCCGGAGAATTCGAACTGTGAATGTTCAGCAACCAAGCCGTCAGCCTGCGCTTGTTCACCTCGTTGTGTAACAGGGGTCCCCTGTGGAGTAAGTCTGCCACTAGAGGGAGGTGCACGTAAGCCCCTTTGAGTACCTTCAGGAGGACTTGAAACCAGACTCGCCTGGGCCAGACAGGTGTGACTAGAACATACTGTGCTCCCACTGGAGCACTCGATCCAGTTCAAGAAGAAGAAGAGATTGGATTTCTACCCCACCTTTCACTCGGAGTCTCAGAGTGGCTTACAAACTCCTTTCCCTTCCCCTCCCCACAACAGACTCCCTGGGAGGTAGGTGGGGGCTGAGAGAGCTCTTCCCAGAAGTGCCCTTTCAAGGACAGCTCTGAGAGAACTACGGCGGCTTGCCCAAGGTCACCCAGCAGCTGCGAGTGGAGAAGTGGGGAATCAAACCCAGTTTTCCCAAATTAGAGTCCCCGCACTTAACCATGACACCAAACTGGTGTTGACCTTCAAGGCCCTTAGCGGTCAGGGACCCCCATACTTTCGGGACTGCCTCTTTCAATATGTCCCCGGAAGACCGTAACGCTCCAGCAGTAAGAATCTGCTCACGGTCCCTGGCCCGAGAGAGGTCTGGCTATCCTTGACCAGGGCTAGTGTCAGAATCGGACCTTTGCCCAGGTCACTGGGTCATCATTTTGTAACTGTGGCTCTCTGATGTACATAGCTATGCTCTGTTATTGCTTTGCCTGTTGTTCCCCTTCCCGCTTGTAGTTCCCGTGATCCCGTTTAGCACCTGCTGGGTTTGTATCAATCTGTCCGCAAGGTCCTCCTCTGACACTCTTGTGGGAGGGGTGATTGAGACATGTCTGTGTGAACCTTAGATTAGCTGCGCCTGAAACACTGTGAAAGGAAACCTTCTCCATATGGGCCAGAGAGAACTTTCGCTGTTTCTTGTTCTCATGGCCTTCGAGTGAGTCTTACAAGATAACGTTCTCACTGTTCTAACTGAACTGTATTAACCTTTCTATGCACCTGTCTATGAATTTATTTATTTATTTTTATTTATATCCTGCCCTCCCCGAAGGCTCAGGGCGGCTAACAACAAGGCACAAGTGCCAGAACTAAAACAGATAAAACAGTCTAAAACCATAAAACAATACAGTACAACAACAAAGTGTCAGTGCAAGATGGGGTAGAACCTCCTCAAATGGTATTGGTCCCACAACTTGTCAGCACCCTCTCCTTCCAGGGTCACCTCGCACCCAGATGGAACCACATATTAGTGGTAGTGGTGCGATGCTGCAAACATATCGGTGGTGGAATTGAAGTGGCAGCGGCTCCTACTCAAAAGCCTGGCAGAAGAGCTCCAAGGAATGGATAACATTAGAAAATACTAGATTATTAAAACTGGAAGGACACAATTTAGCAATGGGCTGGCATAAATACGTGTGGTATGAAGAAGATAAAAATATAAAGAATTTTACACAACACACGATAAGAGGTTCCCTGATGAAAATATGGAAAGAAATTAAAACACGATACTATCTTAAAACTCCGAAATGGGTGGCGCCAATTGAAGCTTTAACAATATCAACACTGATAGAAAAACGTAAAACAGCATCTTATGAAGACTTATTAGAGAAAAATAATAATCTAAAAACTGAAGAGCAACTAATGAAGCAGAACATAAAATTTTCATGGTGGGAGAGAATGCAATTGGAGTCAAGATATAACATAGATAAAAAACGGGCTTTTATAGAGAAAACAACGAATTAGACAAAATATGGCTGTCATCCAGTGATAAATTAATCCAATTATATAAATTATTAATATTGGACGATATGGTAGGGGAAGAGATTAAAGGAACTATGGTAACTTGGACAAAAGATCTGCATAAAATATTAGGGGCAGAGCAATGGTCAAAGGTGTGGGACTCAATAAAGTTAATGAGAGTGATTCCATATAAAGAAAATATTTACAAGATGTTTTACAAGGGGCACTGGACACCTGAGAAATTAGCAAATTGTTATGGGAATATTAATAGAAACTGCTGGAAATGTAAAAGAAATGTTGGAACATATATGCATATGTGGTGGAGGTGTGAAAAAATGCAAAGATATTGGGAAAAAGTCTATAAAATGATAAATGAAATAACAGGAACACAGATAATGTTTTCACCAGAAATTGCTTTATTGAATATTCTCCCCGATACATATAGCAAGACAAATAAGTATTTAATAATTTACTTTTTTACAGCAGCAAGAATATTAATAGCCAAAACATGGAAAAAAGATGAAATGCCTTCAAAAAAGGAAATAATAGATAAGATATTATCATTAGCAGAAATGGATAGATTAAGTTTAACATTACAGGGTAAAAGTGAATAAGTTTTTGAAAAAAGATGGGAAAAGCTTTATGTATGGTTAAAAATGTATATAAAATGACTCAAAAGAATAGAAAATGTAAAGCGTACTGTAGAATGTATTGTGAAAAATTTTATAAATAAAATTTAAAAAAAAAAAAAGACTGGCAGAAGAGCTCCGTCTTACAGGCCCTGCGGAACTGAGAAAGGTCCCGCAGGGCCCGGATCTTCTCCGGGAGCTCCTTCCACCAGGTAGGAGCCGCCACCGAAAATGCCCTGGCTCTAGTAACAGCAAATTTAATATCCCTGGGGCCTGGAATTTTCAGGAGATGTTGACTCCCCGACCGTAGTGCCCTTGGGGGAACATATGGGGAAAGGCGGTCCCTTAGATAAGCCGGACCCTGGCTATACAGGGCTTTAAAGGTAAGAACCAGCACTTTGAAGCGGATCCGGTACGCTATTGGTAGCCAGTGCAGCGCTTTCAGCACAGGCCGAATGTGATCCCTCCTAGAGAGGGATGAAGGCTAGACCAAAGGTCTCGTCGTTCCCTACTTTGTAATATTCTTTAGTTCTGTCAAAGAGTTTGACTTTAAAACAACTTTCCTGATTTCACAACAAAGCTTGTAAGAGGACTTATTGCATCTGAGAGTTCCTGAGAGACTGACAGCTAGGGCCTTTTCAGCCCTTGCCCCTGCCTGATGGAACTACCTGCCTGATAATATCTGGTCCCGTGAGATTCACTACCTTTCCATAGAGCCTGGAAGGCAGAGATGTTCCGCCAGGCCTTCGATTGAGGGACAGCGACGGTCAGCACTCTCATACCCTCCTACCCAGCCCCCCCCACACACGCCCCTTCACTCAGGGAGCTGGTGGGAACAGAAAATTCTCGCCATCTTAGATAATGAAGTTGTATTGCCTGAATGTACCTTGTTTCAGTAGTTTTTAATTGCTATTTAATGGAGTTATGCTTATTTGATGTAAGCCGCTCTGAGCCCTGTCCACAGAGAAGGGCGGCCTAGCAAACTGAATTTAATAAATAAATAGTAAATATCGCTCTGGGCGCTGTAAACCTAGTATGTTGTGAATGTACGTCAGGGCAGAATTTACTTAAAAACCCGTTCTGCAGGGGTCTCATCCTCAAGCGTGCACATGGGGAAGGGGCTGCGGTAGAAGCCATGAGCCCCAACAGCTTCTGAGAAAGAATAAAGCTGATGGAAACCTATTGTTAAGTAAGCGTCCGATCACAGCCTTAATATGCAAGGCCCTTTCCCTGGGAAGGAACGCTCTGGCCACTGTGGTGTCCAGGAAGGAGCCAGTAAAGGAAGCTTTCTGAGCTGGTTGTAGCCATGATTTCTTTCCATTAATTATCAAGGCTTAATTCCTGACAGGTCTGCATAATCAAGGCCATTTTGTGGTTCTAGCATCTCTTGAGAAGATGCCATCATGAGCCAATCATCTAGACGCAGGTAAACAGAACACCCCTTTGACCTCAGGTGTGCTATCACCACGGCAACACACTCTGAAAATACCCGTGGGGCGGTTGCTAATCCAAAGGGAAGTGCCATGCAGCGATAAGCTATGTGGCTGTATTTAAAACGCAAGAATCTGCAGTAATCAGGGTGAATGGCAATACGAAAATGGGCACCCTGGAGGTCAAGTACACAAAACCAACAGTTTAACATCAACACTTGTAAAACTGAGTGCAATGGCAACACTTTAAACTTTCCCTCAGGTCCAGTACTAGTCTGAGGCCACCATCCTTCTTTTTTTAATTATTATTATTATTATATTATTATTTTATTATTAAAGCTTATATACATAATCTTAAATTATTGTACAATCATTTTACCCCCCTCCCCCCCCTCTCCTTATAGTATCTTCATATTTTTAACCATGTGCACAAATTCTTCATTCATATTTGGATATTTGGATTGGCTTCCCCCCTTTCCACCCATTCCTTATATCCCACCCATTTATTTGTAATCTTTTGACATTTCTCTTCCCATGTCTCTTGAGTAATTATCTGTGCAAATATATCTAATTGTACGCGTTCAAAGACATAATTATTCCATTTTTCCATTGTCCATTTGTGCCTGCCCCTCCATCCCAATGCTATTACAGCCACCCCGGCTAAAACCATAATTTTATATAACTCCCGTTTATTTCTTTCCACTTTTTTATTTCCCAATATTCCAGAAATAGGCAAGTCCCTATTAATCTCTATATTAACTTGAAATAAATCAAAGATAACCCTTACAATCTTTTGCCAAAATTCCTTAACCACTTTGCATTCCCACCACATATGGGCATATAGACCTACTTCTTCGCCATAGTGCCAACACTTTGGATTCATTCCTTTAATCATATACGCTATCTGAGCCGGAGTTCTATACCACTTCCATATAAATTTCCTCACCAATTCTTTATCTCTATCTATTTTAATTTGATTTATACCCTTCATTATTTCTTGAATCAATTCCTGATGCATTAACCCTTCTCCCTCCCATTTATTCTGTATGATCAGAGGCCACCATCCTTCTTAGGAACTAAAAAGAAACACAAATAGTAAGAAACCTGTCATGGGGTCCAGATCAGGGACCTTGTACATTGCACCCTTCTCTACAAGGGACGGACGCTCCTGCTCTCACTCGAGTACCAAGTTGTTCAGAGCCTGGTCCGGGTGATGGAGGAATGGCCATTGCCAGAACTCTAACCTACAACCTATATCAACACTTGACAGAACCCATTTATCCTTCGTGATCTCTTGCCATTTCCCCCTGAAGGCAGCTAACCTCCGACGACAGGAAACGGGTGTCTGATCTACAACCGGACCTGGTCAGAAGGAGCCTTCTGCAGCTTGCTGCTGCTCCTTGGGAAGCGGCTGGTGCTGTGATTAGGCCTGGGCCAGCCCTGGGAACGATCTCTGCATAGGATACTGTGATGCCCTCTGTTGCTGATGGAATATGGTGATTGCAACGGACTATATCTATACAATTCTCGGGGTCTATATGGAGCTGTTGAACCCTGCGTGATAGAATAGAAACCAATGGGAACAGCAATATAGTAACACTCATAAACAAAAAATTGCTGCAAACGTGCACATAGTAAATAAATTACACAGAAGTAAATTAGTCTTGAGTAATGATGATTTTCATGAAGAATTCTTTATGTTTTCAACAGGTGAACAGGTAGACAAGACGAACCTCTCGAGTGAAAACTCGTTTCGGATAGTCTTTCTCAATGAGTACCAATATTACATCCAAGTGTATCAAGTCCGACAATAAAAGTCTTTGAATCAAGCAATCTTCTTCACCCAGCTGTATTATTGTGTAGCTATACAGCTGGGTGAAGAAGATTGCTTGATTCAAAGACTTTTATTGTCGGACTTGATACACTTGGATGTAATATTGGTACTCATTGAGAAAGACTATCCGAAACGAGCTTTCACTCGAGAGAACCCTGCGTGATGCCAAATGACCGGGCCATTGGTTTATTCTTTTTAACTTGAGACAGCGTGTCATTGGTAGACGAAGCTGACAATGTCGTTCCTTCGAATGGCAAGTCTTCCACCTTTTGGGGGGAGGGCCGCGGAATGCAGCCAAGCATGTCTCCTTAGGCCTAGTGTTGAAGCCATAGCCCTGGAGGAAGAATCAGCTGAGAGTCTGCTAGCATTTATTTGCTGCTTGAAAAGACACAGCACCTCTGCCTGCAGGAGTCTGGCGAGAGGCTTCATGTCCTCAGGGAGAAGGTCTATGTATGAGGCCAACGTCTCCCACAGGAACAGCTGATATCCTCCCACGATCGCCTCGTAGTTAGTGATACGCAGATTAAGAGCAGCAGACAAATTGATCTTCCTGCTAAGCGTATCAATCTCTCGCCCCTCTTTATCAGCTGCAGATGAGTGAGCTCCTGTGTGCTGTCTTGCCTGTACCGCCTCAACTATGGGGGACAAAGTCGGAGGATGGCAAAATAAATACGAATGTCCTTCCTGCAGCACCCGGTAAAGTTTCTCTGCCTCCTTAGATGTGGCATCCACGGTTGCTGGTTTCTGCCATAGAGCCTTGGAGATGTCATCAATTCCACCAATCATCGGAAAGGCAACCACACCAGATGAGTTAGCGTAAACAATATCCAGGATCTCATCACGAGGTCTTGGGTTAGTGGATGTGACCTCCAGCTCCAATGACTTCGCCATCCTCCTCATTTGTTCAGTATAAAGTTTCAAGTCCCCATCAGGTGCCATCAGGGGACAGTTCCAATGGTAAGTCTGAGTCTGGTCCCGAAGGTGACTCTGCTCTGTGCTCTTCCTTGGCATCTGAATGCCCCTTGTGTGTATGAGAGGGCACTGCTGGAGGGCACCACGCTAGAGGGCCTGCAACTTCCTGATTGGGTGCAGCAGAGTGTCTAGGCGCAACTCTCCTTTGCTGCCAGCCCCCCAATCGTGAAATCTAGGGGATGGATAGTAAAATGGGGAACTCTGCCATGGAGGTGGAGGCATGGAACTCTGCCATGGAGGTGGAGAGGGTGGTTCTGAAGGCTGGTTTGATGTTGGGAGAGCTAACGCGCCGATAGTGAAGATGCTGATGAAGCACGCAGAGAAGGAGTCCACGGTGCCAGAACCTTCTCCCGTTCCATCAGAACAGATTCTGGATTAACCAGAATTGAAGCACTCAACTCCGTAGGCATCTTGGAACCAGTGCATTTCCTATCCAGTTTGGTGTAGTGGTTGAGTGCACGGACTCTAATCTGGGAGAACTGGGTTTGATTCCCCACTCCTCCACTTGCAGCTGCTGGATGACCGTGGGCAAGCCATAGTTCTGTCAGAGCTGTTCTCTCAAGGAGAGTTCTAGAAAGAACTCTCTCAGCCCCGCCTACCTCACAGGGTGTCTGCTGTGGGTAGGGGAGGGGAAAGGAGTTTGTAAGCTGCTCTGAGACTCTGAGTGAAGGGCAGGGTATAAATCCAATCTCCTCTTCTTCTTCTTCTTCTTCTTCTTCTTCTTCTTCTTCTATCCTTGTGCTTGGATTTGGAATGTGCCTTCTTTGGTGGAGGTTTCGATGCACAGCATTCCACAGAACAGACTGGCCAATGGGTCCGATGTTTTGGTTCTGTCCCCGATACCGATAGAACCAAGATGTTCTATGTCAGGCTTGTAAAACCACCGGTTTTCACTGGCAATCTGGATGGCAGCGATTGGCTATGCTCCACCGGGACAGGCGTTTTGGTCGCCAGGCTACTGGAGCATGAAAGTGCCTTCCCCCATAAACCGGCCTTCAAGTGAGCGGCACAATCAGAGCAGGCTTTAGGAGTGAACTGAAGGCCGATCTTACACGTGGCCGTATTATGGGCTTCACCAAGACAAAGAAGGCATAAAAGGTGCTCGTTTGAGTGAGTCGTTTTAGTACCACAACAGGTCCATTTTTTTAAACCACGAATTCTGCAACATAGCTGCAGCCGGAGTTGCCCCCAAACGAAGCAACATTTGGAGAGAGAAAACTCACACTCTTCGGTAGTGGAGAGAAATGTCCTCGCAATGCGGCAACCAAGAAAGGACTGAGGGCGAGGTGGGCTCCTCCCTGCAGAGCATGTGACCACTGGCGGGAAAACGGCCTCTACGGAGCTCTGCAGGGGAGGGGGCTCCCCTCAGAGGGCTGGAATATGCTAGAAGAGCTGTAGAGAGCCTCCGGTGGCTGGCCTGTGCAAGCTCAGTCCCCATGTGGGACTGCACAGAATACTGAAGATGAATACTTCTTTACACAGAGAGAGATTAAAATGTGGATTTCGCTGCCAGAGGATGTAGTGGTGGGTCACAGGAATAACCAGCTTTAAAGGGGGATTAGACAGATTCATGGAGGAGAGGTCTAGCATCAGTGGCTACTAGCCACGGTGACTAAAGGAAACTTCCACGTTCAGAGGCAGTCAACCTCTGAATCCCAGTGCCAAGAGGCAACATCAGGGGAAGGCCTCGGCCTCTATGCCCTGCCCTGTCACACTGGGCCCTCCAGAGGAAGAACCGCTTGGCCACCTTGTGAGACAAGATGCTGGACTAGATGGACCCCTGGCCTGATCCAGCAGGGCTCCTGTTATGTTCTTAATGAAGGCTGAGAAGCAAAAGCCCCCCCTGTTGGGGCTTCCAGACCTGCACTTCAACGGCTTCCCCTCACCTCCACCACCCCGGGGCATCTCTCCCTCGGCCATCCAAGGGGCAGAGGCCTTTGGGGAGACGACCAGAGAGGCCAGGTGGCAAAACGGCTACAGGGAAGGTCTCAGGCATACATCCCCACGCGGCCAGGTGTGGGCTTGGGCCAGTCCCTGGCACTAACCCACCTTTACAAGGTGGGCACAGGCAGGAAACGGAGCATTATTTACACACTCCGCTTTAAGATCCACCCGCGTTTCTGTTCACAGCAAAGCTTGATGTGGGGGGGAAGAGCTCAGGATCCTGCCTTACCTGGAGATCAGACCTGAACTGGCCCCACCCTTCCCTCAGCTACTCCTTGACCAGGGCGAAGAGAGCGACCACCCATCCGCCTGGAAGGGAGACAGCTTGAAGCAGGGGGCGGAAGAGAAAGCGGGAAGCCTACTGGCTGCAGCCCCGGGGCCACCTTCTGGGGACGGGGAAGCGGCAGCTGTCCCGCTTTGGTTTTAATTAATAAGGAGAACAAAAGGCTGGACTCCGAGGACAAGACAAAAATGCTGCCGCAGTTTTTAAGCCTCAGACATTTTCTTCCCATTAGGCAGCGGCATTTTTGTTTACTGGCAAAGTTAAAAATAAAGGAGAAGAAGAACGTCCCTCCCCCTTTATGCACACGCCCGCAAACAGTCACGGCAGGACCCAGAAGAGGTCGCGGAGTCCTCGGCCGCCTCCAATCTACCGGAAAGCAGTGGAGAGCTGAAGGGGGGTCGGCCTCATGGCCCGGCATGGCCAGCCACGTCCCAGAGAGCCATTTTGGTGTAGAGAGCCAATTTGGTGTAGTGGTTAAGTGTGCAGGCTCTAATCTGGGAGAACCGGGTTTGATTCCCCACTCCTCCACTTGCACCTGCTGATGTGACCTTGGGTCAGTCACAAGCTCTGGCACAAATGTCCTTGGAAAAGAGCAGTCTGTGTCAGAGCTCTCTCAGCCCCACCCACCTCCCAGGGTGTCTGTTGTGGGGAGGGGAAGGGAAAGGAGTTTGTAAGCCACTCTGAGACTCCTTCAGGTACTGAAGGGCGGGGCATAAATCCAATCTCCTCTTCTTCTTCTTCTTCAACACCCTTCCTTTGCGCAGCCAGAGAGAGTGGGGGGGCCTCAACACCAGCAGGACGCCGGGGGAGGGTTGGGTTCAGAGTGCCCCCAATCGGGGCCCCCCCAACTGCTGCATGCGTCACGCCAAAGACCATGCTGTCGACAGCTGTCAAGCACTCCTCAACGGCCTGGATCCGACAATTCTCTGGCTGTTCCAAAATGAAGGTGCCAACAGTTTCCAGCACCTTCAGTCTTTTTGTTCTTAAACTTAAATAATGTAACGGAAGCACATTCTATACCACCTTTAAAAATTTTACACGCTTTCAGTGACTTCCACATAATGCTTTGGATATGCCTGTCTATAACGTTTAAATGGCACAACCCCCCCCCCCCCAATCAAATATTTCAATTCAAGGACTGAACACAAAAGTATTGCCACGGTATTAACAACAAACATGTTGAATCAGTTAATGTGCAATTAAGGGCATCGGATAATTTCCCAGAAAGTTTTCAAAAAGGCTTTCCGGAAAACATTTTAGCCCAAGCTGTTCCATCGCTATTCCGAAGGGACTGCAAGCAAAGGCCATTTGGCCTCAAACAAATCCATCTTCGGGGCTAGCTAAAATATACATGAACAAACAGAAGCAAACAGCCCCTTTTCTCTCAGGCTTCAGGACACAGACAGTAGGTGGGGTTTTCCTTTTTCTTTTGTAGCTTGGGTGGACAATTTCCACATAGGGACGGATAAGGGGAATGCACCCCTGCTGTCATTTCCGCACCAGACCTTAAATCCTGGTTCAACCCTGTCCCCAAACTTACATCCTACACTACATGCGAGTTCACCCCTGTAATCTTCTTGGGGTATTTTTTGTTTCCACATTACATTGAGGTCACCCCGCTTTCACCCCACACTTGTCCCGGGATAAACGGATGCTGTTATAACCAGGGATGAGGAGGAGGAGGAGATTGGATTTATAACCCCGCCCTTCACTACCCAAAGGTGTCTCAGAGCGGCTCAGGATCTCCTTTCCCTTCCCCTCCCCACAACAGACACCCTGGGAGGTAGGTGGGGCTGAGAGAACTCTGACAGAAATGGCTCTTTTTCAAGGACAGCTCTTATCAGAGCTACGGTTTGCCCAAGGTCATCCAGCCAGGTGCTAGTGGAGAAGTGGGCAACCAAACCCGGTTCTCCCAGATTAGAGTCTGCGCACTTAACCACGACACCAAACTGGTGTAGTATTGTGTCATGAGTTGAACTCTGATAAAACCAGGGATGAGTTCCAAGCGTGGAAAGGATCAGATAGATCTATCAGCTGCCTTCAATACATCAATATCAATTTGGCCACTGTGTGACAGAGTGTTGGACTGGATGAGCCATTGGCCTGATCCAACATGGGCTTCTCTTATGTTCTTATGTGCTGCTGAAGCACCTAGAGCAAGGCTGTCGAACTCATTTGTTACGAAGGCCAGATCTGACATAAATGAGACCTTGTTGGGCCGGGCCGTTTGTGTCATAAAATGTAATGCCAGGTAGCAGAGATATCTATATATCTAATAGTGAAGTGGCCCCTGATGTGCGGATATCTAAATCCGGACCTCGGGGGCACTTGGGGGGGAGGGAGAGGTTTGTGCACACGTGGGGCAGTCTCCACATGTGCACAAAAATCCTAAATATTGGGGAAAAAATTGGGGGGATGTTTAAATCCCCCCGAAAGTGCCAGAGCGTTCCGTGCGCATGCGCACGGAACGCTCTGCAAACTCCGGGTTGAGGGAGTTTCAGTGCCAGCTTGGGGGGG